TTGTGTCAGCTGAGAATTACCAGCCGTAACCAACGACGCTTCACTCGCCGATCTACTAAACCTCGAAGAGTTATTCATCGGCATGCAGTCCAACGTGGCGGATGGAACTGTCGATGATGCTGGCAAGTGATCGTGATGATTGTAAGACTGTGACGAGCTTCCTGATATCTTGGACGATGCTGTTGTTGGGAATGCGGATATGAATCCGTCACGTTCATAATCGTCCAAGAAGTCTTCGATGGAAACAGGAACAGGGAGTGACTGCGTGTTCTGATCAGCCGGCTCCATGTACTGGTTAACAGGAGAGTTGAAAACCCTACGGAGCGGGCTGAGTCCTTTGCCTTTAGGGTTATGGGTGCTGCTGAATGCTCCGAGGTGCGGCGAAAACCTAGGGGAAGGGCAGCCCGAGAGGCTCTGCCCTTGCATGGACTGAGCGTAATTGTAATTGTAATTCTGATGAGTTGCAGAACCACCGTTTTGGGGAGAGTTCGGCATGTTGTTTGGGACGGGCGACAAGATCATAAAATCGGTTTCGAATTGCTCGGAGAACAAAGACTCCCAGATGGAATGGTCGGGAGATTGGACTTCAACATCGTCTAGCTCGAACTTGAGCGTTGGAAAGTTGAGGCTCGGCGGAGTTAGGGTGCTCTGCTGATCCAACTCTGAGGATGGAGGAATTGTGATTTTCTTAGATTCTGATATGGACATAGACATCGTCGTGGATTCAGTCGGAGACGGGGGTCTGAGGTCGGAGCTGCATGAGTTCTCACTCTTGATAGACCCCATGCTTCCACAATGAGTATTGATCATCACGGTGATTAATATCAATTGATCCTTCTAGCTAGCTATCCACAACACAAATATTAATATATAGCTAACTATCAAGCGATGATGGGTTCAAGAGGATGATCGGCCAAACTGAACTTAAGACACGACCCAACAATACTGATGAAAAATATAAATACGATGTTAGAGTAATCAACTAGGGTTTAGAGCAGCTAACTAAGCTCTCATTAAGGTGGTAATTGAGCTCTTAGACTAGTTAGCTAGGCATAGAGGAGGAGTTTGGTTTTGGTATAGAGAAAAAGTAGAAACTCTTTTTTCTCTCTACTTGTTGTTTAGAAGGAGCTAAGGTTTGGGATTTGTGTGTTGGCCCAAGATTGTGTAAGAAAGGGTTAAAGAGATTTAGGGATAAAATATTAAAACGAATAAAACGAATGGCTTGTGTTTGTAGGTTGTGATTTCGTTACCTCCATTTCATCTCCATTGTACCAAGCATAGCTGTTTTCTAGGGGCATTCTTTTGTCGTCTTTTGTACCTGATTTAACTGTATGTTCACTAGCTATGGCCTTGGTGAGCACAAGAGACAAATTCAGTCTGTTCGGGTCCCACCTTTCTTGGGCCGGCCCAGCTGAGAACAAGGAGGTTGGAATACTTGTGATAGATCTTCTTAACAAAAATAAATAAAAATCTTCTTGTTACTTTGATGTAAATTAATATTGTTGGCCATTGGTTGGACGAAGGGCTTTTTAATCATCGCAATTGCAAAAAGGACTTGAAAAATGGATATTGACAATGAGATACCTAGGCTTATTATATGTCTCTCACTCTCTCTTACTATCTTTAGACTTTTTCTAAGGTAAATGGGTACAATTGGATAGTTAGAGGCACAAGGAAATGGTCCGATTGTAAAAGAGGAGTACAGGATGATTTGCATGTTAAAATTTAGGTAAAAACGTCCTCGTTGGTCCACTCTTAAGAGCAAGACAATTTTTTTTCTTTGTTTCATGGTAAAATCAAACTTTGATATGAATTATTAAGGACTTACAGATAAAACTTGTCTTATAATTGCCACATAAAAAACGAGTGCCCAAAAGTTCTTAAACCACTCTAAAACATGCTATTTTTCCATGTTCATATGAAAAACCTTGCAGTTTACCTATAAGATAGTATTCGGTTGCCAATAAGGGAAGTGTGGAGTTTAGAGAAAGACAAAGGGATGATTTGAGAGAGGTAGGTAGTAATTAATTAAGTGGGAGGACGCGGTAAGCGAGAGGGGAGGAAGAAAGAGGCCAAGAAGGGGACATTGGCAAAGTCGTCGAATGTGGCGTCGGTGGCGCCGCCTAAGCCTTGGATTTGCCAAAGGAATGAAGTGCTTGTCTCAACTCTCCGTCCCTTTTCCCCTCATTGCCCTCTTCAGCGGCAAACTCCTCTCCGTCTCTCTCCATCGTCATCAAATCAATATACTCTTTTGTCTGCAGTTTTGCTTTATAACTACGATGCATGGACACAGTGATAGCTGATATTCTCTCGTATTCTTGTGTTGTATTGTATTTCTTTGTGATTAGTTTCGTGTCATGTCATATTTCGTATCTGTATCCGTGTTCATGTATCGTAACTTTATAATTAGTTCAATATTTAATTCAAATCAATATAGTTAATAGTTAAACATGAGTATAAGTCTGCAGCCCCACCAGTTAATGGCTAGTCCTTGAGAAATACTTACACTTGCGTCGATTTGTTGTATGCAATATATGTCACATATTCACATATGGTGAGTCTCTGATTTGCAGTATCACGTGTTAATGTAAAATATACATTGCAAATACGTGACACATGTTGCATACAAGTTTTTCTACCGTCACAAGGCATATTCTATGTAAGTACAAGGCACGCGGGATTTTAACTGATCTGCTGGCTTGGACTATATTCTGCCCAAACATATGGCCACGTCAAAGCACTACCAAATAGAAACCTCATTAATCAAATAATATAATTGTCAACTCTATTGGTAGCCTTCTTCTATGAGAAAAAACTTATGTAATGGGTGACTCAATGTCATTCGTAAAACACCTCTTATATAAACATTATTGATCTCTTCATATGATCAAACACAATACTCAATGTAAAAGAATGCTTAATTAGACAACCTTGTTAACAAAGAACAGTGTGGTCAGTCCAAGATGGGCTCAGAGTTGAAACGATAAGAACTTAACAAAGGTTACAATAAGCGCTTGGTATACTCTAGTCTCTCTTTTCTCTATTTTTGCCCGACCCGTTATAAGGGGCACTTGTCCTTCTTATATAGGCCCCCAATGAACCCCAAGTCTCTGGGCTCGAATTTTCCTTCGCCTTTGCATTTAATGAACCAAGTGCGTTGACATGACCTGCTAGTTGCCCTCCCGATCTTTAGTCGACACATGGTAACAAAGTGACACTCATTTAGATCCACTTGCATGTTTTCTTGCCCAACGTGTACTGAGTGGCTTGCTCAACCTTGGTGTTTGTGGAAATCCACACCTGAGCGCTTGATCTATTAGCCTTTATGCCTCTTCATAGGTTTCTGTTCTCGTTGTTGACCACCACGTGACTTAGGGTTAGTACCCGAGTAGACATGCCCCAAGAACTTCGTACTATAAAGTTGTTAGTATGCCAACTTACAGTCAGTACTCAGAAAGTACTTTATGAGGAAGCGCTTAGCTTTATTGCTTGCAGGCAAACCAGACTGCTGAGCGGTCGTCTGTAGCGCTCAAGATCATCCTTTCAGTTCTATTGGGCCTTGGTCCTCCTTCCCTTGGGCCTTTATCCTTTCTTTCTTTGCGCTTTCATCTTTCTTTTTAAGAACCATACTATTTTAAAGTCGACAAAAACAGTGTTAACAGGCCCTACCGAAAATCCCTTCTTCTCCAGCTATTATCACAAATTATGCCAGTATTTAAGTACTAATTGTATAAATTGGGTCCGGACCCAAAAGACATATGGAACTCTGAAAAGTTGTGAAAAAAATGAGGGATGTCTGTTACTTATAAGCTCATACCTACAGTACAAGTTACAGTGACCTGACCTTTTGACTTTAATTTATGGTCCTCTCTGTTCATAAAAACTATGAACCCTGCAAGCTTCACATTTCTCTATAACACGAAAACAAAGTTTAGGCCATAAGTAAAATGATTCACTACTATATATTGGTATAGTATAGAGTCTATAGACGTTACGTTTTAAGCTTGAAAAATCACTTGATAAACTCTTCAGAATTCTTCAACGTACATCCAACCAAAAAATTTGGGGTTAGGGTATATAACCTTCTCCAAATACAGATACTTCCTACTAAGTGATGCTAAATCATAACTCGTCAATATTTAGTTTAGAGCGCAGATGGTATAAACATAAACTATATTATGCAAAAATCGCTACCCTAACAAAACTGAAGCATGTAATTCACACTTATGCGTCCTAACTAACTTTTTTACCAGATGCTGAAGTAAGAATCGATTGCATATTCCAAGCGGTTTCGCCAAGAACCTCAGAGCACATATCGTTCTCGGTGAGCAGAACTACAAACAGATATGAGGTGTACAAGTTGGAAATCCCATCTGTTGAAGGGATTAAATGTGCAGAAGATTCAGCAATTGTATCCTCCTGCTAGGCAAGCTTGATGTGGAGTTCTTCTTCTGCATGCAATGTTCCTGGTTACAAATTCACATCAGATGAAATTGCAGTCAAATCGAAACTGGCCAATCTCTGCATTTACAGCCTAAAGGCTTTGAACTTCAGACCTTCAAAGAGAGAGTGGGAAGAAAAAATAAGACTTAATCCACATGTGTTTAGTTTTCGGAACTCGACTTAATCAAAAGAAAAACCAGTACCTTGGAATCGGCTTTCTTTTTTTCCTTTCTGCATTTACTGTATGGTTCTGTGATGTACTGGGGCTGGAATGGGATATAAATATTCATGCATGTACAGTTTGGATCCAAGGAGCCTGATTGATTGGTTAATGAACATATATTTTTGTATTCATGAAAATGTATACTTGGGCTGAAACGTGATTCATTTTAACGGAAGTTTTAATGATGTTGACGAAAATTAAGGACCATAGTTGCACGTTTTGATCGTTAAGAGACCAATAGTCATTAATTTTTAGTTGAAAACCATTGCTCTAATTAAGTTAAAGTTGAGAAACTTTTGTTATAATTTTCTCCAATTACATAACAACCAAAAAGTAAAAAATTAATCAAATCAGAAACCAAAAAAATTACAATAATTAATTAATTAATAATTAGGCTGTGAGCCTGTGGGGGCTGTGCAATTGAGGAAGGGATTAGACAAACAAATGGACCGAGGGGTTTGGTTTAAAGAATGAATATGATGAGAACTGTTCATACAAAATTGAAAATTAATAAACAAAAGCATATATGAAATTTCTAAACGCCATATCTGATCTGGGTACTTCGGACATTTCACCTGTTCGGATGATCATCACGTGATTAATTACACCTCGCTAAGCACATTCTGAACCTCGATTAATTTATGCTTCGTCTTCAAGCTTGCTACTGCCATTAAAGGGTCTTTCTTCTTGTTGTAATTTATGGTTTCTTCCTGAATACGGAGGAGTTGGGGTTTCCATCAAATAGCTCATCAATGTACGTCTCTATATCCTCCGGCTGGAATTTTATGTACTTCTCTGTTTGCCTACCCGCGTCAAACACCTGCGAGAACCGCCCCAAGAACGCCCGGTAAGCCGGAATCATCACCGCCGATATCGAAACCCTCAGCTCCGACTGCAGCTGCTCGTCGCTCACCACCCACGTGCTCTGCGTCTTGTGGATCTCATCGAACAACGCGTTGAAGCTCTTGAACCTCTCCTTCAACACCGGCTTTGCCACCTTCCCGTTCACGCTCAGCCCCTCGGGGTTCAAGCACTGCAGCAGCCGGTTCCATGTCTCCCTCTGGTAATTTTTGTGGTACTGCCTTAGATCTGACGACCGCCGACGGTACCACGTGTCGCCCATAAGCAAGTTGATCTCCGCCGACCCTTTGATCTTCTGCAGGATGTACCGCCCGTTGTTCATCATGAAGATGGAGCTCAGCGCCACGTCTTTGTACAGCTTCGCCTTCGTCTCCAGATTCGAGTCCAGCAAGTCCATCACGCGCATCAGCTGCAAGTGAAACGGCGATTGGTTCTCACTGGTGTTCCCGGATCCCTCCCCTGCCTCGTACTCGCCGCGATGAGGCCCACTCGTCGAATCTGCGCGCTCGATCTTCGAGTGCTCTCTAAAAACCAATTCCAGCGTGTCCTTGTACTCGCACGCGTACCTAAGGTAGTTTATCGTGTAACGGGTCAGCGGATGGACTGCCCCTCCCGGAACCGGGTTTCGACCTGTCTCGGCCTTAATCGAATTCTCCAGGTCACAGAAAGTACAAATCGCCGCCTCGCCAAGGCGGGTCCGGGCGGTGGAGGTCTCGTGCTTCAGCTCGTTCACGCAGTTCACCGGAAACAAGGTGTCCATTTTGGGGACCACCTCCCGCAACGCCTCGTACATGTCCAGCGTCTTGAACAGCTTTTCCGCCGACCGCTTCGATATCGCGATTCCTTCAGCAAAATTGAGAAGCTGTATCATCACTCCTCCAGCCAAATTGCTGAACAGGCTCGACGATATCGACGGGTAGTCGGCGAACACCGCCTCGACGAGCCTTCGCTCGCCGGAGAAGTAGACAGTGGCGCATTCCTTTAAGGCCTTCACCCACGAGATGATATCTCTCTCGAGCGATTCCCAATGCATTTTCTGAATGTCGTCGAGGCTGTGCTTCTCGAATCCCAATTCGTGCAGAGTCTCACCGAACATGTGCCTTCTCGAGATCATGTAAACCTCGCAACACTCTGTTTCGTATCCGCCTGATATCATCTCTTTGGCTATCTTGTTCAGATTGTTCACCACCTCTTGAGCATATCCAAGAAACTGATCGGCTTGTAATTCATCTCTGCCGCCACCCGACTCAGCCTGATCTGGCAATGCGCCGCCGCTGCTCTCTTGATCTTGTTGATCCTGCTGCTTATTGCTGTCGTTGTTATTATTCCCGCCCTTCGTACTATGGTCTTTGCCATCTTTATGATCTTTATTGTCTTTATGATCGCTGCCGCATACAGAGTCAGTGATGGTGCAGGTTCTAGATTCTTCTAGAAGAATTCTGAATTCCTCTTCCAGATACAGCAACGCTCTGTGCTGAATGCTTCCGAGGCGGTTGATCAACGCCCCGTGACTCTCTTCGAATTTCAATCCGAGGAAAGAGAGATACTTGCTCAGCCTCCGTATCCGATCCAGAGAATCCAGAAACAATGCGTCGTTCTCAGGCTCCTGACACCACTTCACCTTAGCGTCGCCGGAGTCGCGTTTCGACACCACCTCATCCTCAACCAGATTCAAGAACTTTCCCACCAGCTTCGGAAGCTCATCTGGAAAGCTGACACCGTCCACGACGTCGTTTTCATTTTTTTGGGATTCAGGCAGACACGAGATGCAGCGGTCGAGATCCTCCGAGACCTTGTCGAGGGTCGGATCCTCTTCCGGTTCTGGTTCGGGTTCCAGAACCGGGTCTTCGTCCAGTACCGGAAGTGGATCGCTCTGATCTTCAACATTCTCAGCGTTAAAATCCTTCACCCTCTTACTATTGACCCTCATACTGCTGAAACTTTTCAACTCGTAATCCGGGTCATCACCTTCGTTCCCCTGATAAACTTTGGTCTCAGATGGATTCACATCACTAACATTCGGATCGTCAAGCTTTGCAGTCGAATTATGCTCATCGTGAACCTCAGCCGTTGGATTAGACGACTTCTGATCATCAACTGGCTTTGTGTCAGCGGACTTACGATCGTCTCCATCGGGATTTGTAGTAGTAGCGGACTTGTTATCGTCATTAGGCTTTGGCATTGCAGCGGCGGAGGAGGAGTCCGGTGGCGGTACGTCTGGTTTGGGCTGGTCGTCTTTCTCCGGAAGGTTCTTTTCCATTGTTCAAATTTGTGGGAATATTTTTGGACGGAATGATTTGCTTGCGTCTCTTTCTCTCCGCCTCTTTAATTTGTCTATTTGTTTTTTGAATTTCTGAATTTTTATTTTTATTTTGTTGTTAAGGGACGGTTTGAAATGGTCGTTGGAAAGGGCGCGAGAGAGGGGAACGTACGGACGTGGTGTTCGTTCGTTCGAGTGTTTTGGTGGTTGCAAATCTGAATGCTTGACCGTTGACTGGCCTTTCCCTCCCCCGCCTTCTTTTTTGTGGTCGCCACGTCTCTCATCCTCTGATTTTTGTTTTTGTTTTTCAATTAATACTTTTAGGGCTATTTACAAACTGCACCCCTCAAGTTTGGGGTCGTTTTTAAAACAAAAGTGTTATTAATACTTCAAAAATCTCATTCTACATTCCTCATAAGTGTATTTTTTTCTTCTAAATATACAAAGTTTGGAGTGTAGAATGAGAATTTTGAAGTTCTAATAACAATTCCCTTTTAAAATAGGCACAACCTTTCAATGTTTCACCTTATTACCTAAACTAAGTAATAAACCGTAATTTAAACCACTATTGGTCTGGTACACCAAGTATAATAATACAATTAGTTAAAAACTTGAAAAAAAATGAGTTTCAATTAATTATATTATTATATTTGGTGTAACGGCCATGTTCCTAACACACTGAAAAAATCTCTATTTGACTTGGTAGCTATGGGTTCCACCTTTTAAATGCAATCATCCCACATTCCAAATTATAGGCCTATTTTTTTCTCGTACGATACGAATGGTTAAAGTTTTAATACATTATAATAATGTGAATAAACTTAAGGCTAAATGAAGTTTGAATAATGCTATTTACACATCTATTTTTATTCCCACACACTCTAGTTGGTTTTTGGTTATTAATCTTCTTCAACTTATCCGGTCCGATGATCGAAAATCAAGAATTGTATGTAAGAAGTAAAAATGAGTGTGTGGATAGCGCTAACCATGCAATTATACCTTTCAATTTTAGAGTATTGTTCAAAAAGGGATACGGGGTTTTAATTTTCATATTGCACCATTAAGTTTTGAATTCTATCAGTTTACTATCATCTAGTTATTCGATTGTTCGGTATCTTTCGTTATTTGATGATCCAACAAGCATGATAACCCAGTTAAAGGTTGATTGTACCGCATGAACTAAAAGTATGGTCCAGAGCTTTGGTTTTTTTCTAGAACACCAATCCAACATGTTGGTATCAATGGTGAATGGTGTAATTGTGACTTACACACATCCTTAAAAAGGATACCTACATTACCAATTTAGCAGTGTAAAAGATCATATAATTAAGTTGTGAAAACATATACATTGACAATTGAGAGAGATTGCCCTCCGAATGAGGTCCGACCCAACTCAAGAGATTAGTCCTCGCCTACGTGTGAGGAATACCTTGGATTCATCCAAAAAACATATACATTGAAAATTTTCAAAATTTTATGGTGCAATTTGAAAAGGTCGAAACACAATGGTTTAATTTAAAAAATGGCCTAAAACTTGGGGGCCACGGCTTGAAAGAAACGGGGTCCGATTTCAATTTAGAGAAAAAAAAGGCCCGCCTCAAATGTGGCCCAACCCAAATCCAGTATCTTCGTAGTTTGTCCGAATCAGTCACTTGGAGTGAGCTTGTTCACTGTTAGAGCTGGGCGGCGACAAAGCGAGCGATCTGTGGCTTCCAGATCCATATCCAATCACCGACGCACAGACAAAACGAAGAAGGAAAAGATGAGATATGGCGTTTGGGGTAGGAGGAGGGTGTCCGTCGGATCAATTCTGATAGTCTGTGCGTTGTGTGCTGGAATGGGGCTGTTGATGCTCAACTTACGACAAGTCGATCCTCCGACGAGCCCCGATTTCTATATGCAAATTGAAAATTTGGGTTCGGATTCAGATTCTGAAAACGGCGGCGGAGTTGAGCGGGAGACGGAGCCGCAGGGCAAGAGTAAGAGAAAATCGAGCTCGTGCGCGACGGTGGAGGAGATGGGAAAGGAGTTCGGGGGAGGAGGGTTTTGGGAGGAGAGTCGCAGAGTCAGGAAGTTTATTCAGCATCACTTTGACTTGAATGGTATTGTTACTCTTATTTTTCTGCTGATTTTAAAAGTGCTTTTACATAATTTTTCTGCTTTTTGTTGAAGTGATTATTGATTTCTTGTTTGGGTTTGTCAAACTTGATGGCATCATACTTTTGAGTTTGAGTGTAGAAGTTGGGGTTTATTGAGTAGAACTTTTAGGTGAAGGAAGCTCATGCGGTTCGTTCAATTTCAGGTGCTTCCAGGGTAAGAAATCTTCCACCGGCACAGTTTTGTCGGCACGGATTTGTGATGGGTAAAGCATCAGAGGCGGGTTTCGGGAACGAAATGTACAAAATCTTAAGCGGTGCCGCGTTGAGTATAATGTTGAACCGGTCCCTCATCATTGGGCAGACCAGGCATATTGGTTCTTTCCTCAAGCCTTTCTTTTTCGTATTTCATCGTAGTGTTCTTCCTGCTGTAACCTGAATTGTTAGAAATAGCTGCTCATTCGCTTACCGCTAAAGCATGTTAAGTTGCAGCAATATATGTTTTTTTTTGTGCTCATATTGGTGTTGCTTGTTGCAGGGGAAAATTCCCTTTCGGGGATTACATTTCTTATTCCAAATTTTCCTTTACGATGAGAGAAATTAAGCATCTGTGGAGACTTAATAAATGTGTGAAGAAGTATGGGAGGCAACTGGTTATGAGGACTGATGACTTTGAGAAGCCAGCACAAACAAACGTTCTGTGTAGCAACTGGATGAAATGGAAGCAGCCGATTATATGGTAAATGAGAAACGTGCTAAGATATTGCCTATAACTCATCATCGGATTAGATATCATCACATGATTGTTGACACTATTCCGGCAGGTTCCAAGGTACGAATGACGCTGTGGCAGCCCAGTTTTTCTTGAAGAACATCCACCCTAAGATGAGGAATGCTGCATCTGCTTTATTTGGGAAGCCAGAGGTTCTCCATTCTCGGCCTAATGTATTTGGGGAGCTGATGAGAGTGCTTATAACCCCTTCTGAGGATGTCCAGGAAGCAGTCAATTGGGTTCTTGGTGGAGCTGAACCTGATATTTCACTGCACATGCGAATGCTCATGAATAAGTAAAGCAACCTGCCTTTTAATTCATTGCCTTTTGATTCATTCTTTGACTACATTAATACGAGGTTCAGAAATATAGGGTTGATGGGGTAGGACATCTTAGTCTTGTTAAGCATTGAATGTTACAGAACAGAAATGGATGTAGTTTAGTGAAAATTTGAAAAGAAATTCTAATGTTGGCAATTAAAACAATACCACTGGTTTTGCTTCATCTTTGCGGTCCACTCATTTCGAAGTATTATTATATCTGTAAGCTTCTCCCTGGTAGTTGATACCATCAGAAATCTGTCACACGAACATGTGCACACACAGAGAAATGCCACGTATTCTCCTATGAATTCAATCAATGACACAGGTTTTTGCCTCCTGTTTCCAGGTCTGTGAGAGCTGCACAGGCAGCAGTGAACTGCATCAAAAAAGCCGTGCACAATCTTGGCAAATCCCCAAAGCCTAGGGTGGTGTTAGTGTCTGACAATCCCTCTCTTGTGAAAAGTATTACACCAAATATAAATAAATTTGCAGAGGTAACGTACTTATATCCGTGGAATATCTGAAATCCTATTGCATAAATGCATTCTATATCACTCGTGAAATTATAACTGGACGTATTGAAAGTCTCTTTTATTACACGTTGTTCAACAATCAATATCTGTCCTTTTGATTTTAATTCATCATTGTTTTTTCTTAGGTTATTCACTTTGATTATGAACTTTTCAAAGGAAATATATCCAATGGCCGTAAAGGATTGCACAGTTTAGAGTTTAGAGTGAAAGATTGGGGTCCAGCGCCGAGATGGGTTGCCTTTGTGGACTTCTTTCTTGCATCACGGGCAAAACATGCTGTTGTGTCTGGGGCTCACAGGCGTGTTGGGACTACCTATGCTCAGTTAATTGCTGCACTGGCTGCCGCAAACAGTCTTGGTACATACATGCATATAGTGCTTGAATCATATCTGTTAACAAATGTGGCTCAAAAGTGTTATAATCTCCGTTCTATTCTCTCTTTCTCAGGCGATGAACCAACTGGTTCAAGTTTTGCATTCTTAAGTAGCTTCCAAGGTGATTTGCTGAGAGGAGGTTTAAGGTTTCAGATTGGTTGGGGGCATGTGTGGAACAGATTTGCAGGTCCCCTTGGTTGCCATGGCCAGCCTAATCAATGTGCTTTCACACCACTTCTCCCTCCGGCGTGGTGGGATGGTCTTTGGCAGTCCCCGCTTCCTAGGGATATCAAGAGGCTGGCCGAGTACGGCATTGAGCTATCCGGTTTTGGGACGATCAACGAAAATCATCTTCAGTCTTTTTGTAGGTCAAAGAAAGTGGTTGTGAAAACTATTCCGTTCCTTTTGTAATATTTAACATTGCATTTCATTCGTGCTCATTACACATTGACATTGACATTGACACTGATATGTTTTGGCTCGTCGTCCACCTTTTATACTTGTAAGATTACTAGCAAACGCAGCTTATGAAATTCGAGTTTTTTTCTCTTCTACTTCTAGCAAGCACCTCTTCGTCGAACTGTTGCTCGGTTAAGTTGCAGCGCCGGCTGCCGTCGAAAGCTTCACCGTCATCTTTTAACTACCGATGTCAACGGAAGGTTTCGCCGTTCTATCACCGTCAAAGCCTATGGCTCTGATATTTCACAAGAATAATAATAATGTATGTTATAAAGAATTAATGGGTTGGATATTCGGAGTCAATGATCAAAATTAATCCAATACTGATTAATACGTAATCAATTGAACACTACTTAAAAATGAATACTACTTGAATAGAAAAAAATCACGGAAGATTGAAGGGTATAAACATGAATGTATGATTTGTATCCATAATTTAAGTTAATTCCCAAAAACAGACGATATACTTAATCCGTAATATTTAATATTTAGCCTCTAAATAAATATTAATTATTATTTTATGAGTAATTAAGAAGCAAGAATGTCAAAGAAAAAAGAACAAGTTGACCGAAAAGTAAATAATAAATACAAAAAGAGAGAGGGTGGGAGTGTGACATCATCATATTTGGCATTTGGCAAGATAATAGAGACAGAATGGATTCTCCTATTTAAAAAGATCCTCCCTCTGTCACTCCTCGTCCGCCGTGGTACGTCGTTTTTTCTCCCAACCGTGTGTGCGCGTTTCGGAATCGCAAAATCTCCCTCTCTCTCTCTCTCTCTCTCTCTCTCTAGATATCGTGTAGAAAACTCGACTGATGAGGGAGAAGAAATTAAGCTGAATGCTTAATTTGGGGTTTTAATCATGTGATTGGGATTTTTCGGAAACATTTTTTCATATCTGGTGGAGCGACATGGGCTATTGCCCATGTTTCGGGTTCAGGAAGGGGAGGAAGCTCGAGACCGGTACGGACGAAGCCAAAGACGACAAAACCGACAAAGCCGACAAGAAGAAGACGATAAACAACAAACCTCAAGAAAATGTGACTCAATTGTCATCTTCCGGTCAGTCAAATCTTTTGAATGCGATTGCGTTTCTTTGTTTCTGGTATAATTTCTTGGTTTTTACCAGTTTGAATAATGCCATGCGAGTTTAATCCGATCATAAAACTTTAGACTTGAAGAAAAGACTTGGTGATGATTCTGTTTCGTTCTTGTTTTCAGAATTTGGGTTCTCATTGCATGCATTGTTAACTGAATGCGATCGTGTTCTTGGAGTTTTCTCGATTTGGGGTTTTTGTTTTTGTAATTTACCAGTTACCACCTTCAGTTTCTCGGGTTTCCATTGAAAAATGACACATCTTTTTGAATCACAACTCCCAAGTTTCCTTCTTTTAGTTTCTCGTCGAAGTTGACGCTTTTGAAGGGGTTTTTCTATTTTCGACTGGGATGTCATGACACATCCGCTTGAAACTTTGAAGGGAAGCAGAGAAATTAAGTGACAATTGATAGATTGAAACCCTTAAGTTTAGAATTAATAACTTAACATGATGCGGTTTAAAAAAAAAGAAAAAAAGAGAATCTTGGCGTGAAGATGGCGATATAGGAAGAGTGTTGGCAGTAGAATGTGTGAATGCGAAATCGTAAAGTGAGAAAGGTAGAAATATTCTGAAGGTTAAGTAGGATAAATGAGATGACAGCAATAGCTAATGTTGAAGTCATACCAGAAGGCTGTGTATCCCAAACCAAAAACGATGTTTAATTCGTAGCTGAGCATTTTATAGTCAGAATGTACTTCTAGGATATTGCTTGCTTTGCTGAATTTGAGCTTTACATGGTTTGTGTCTTGACTATACACAATGGATCAAAATTTGACGTTGACGTGATACTGTTTTGCTCTTCTGCCCTATTCTTTTAGATAGTTCTGCTTCTTGTATGGAGTTCATATTAGATGTTAACGAATCTTGTATGATAATCTGCTCCAGAAGAAGATGGAATTAATGGCAATAACAAGGCTCAGACATTCACTTTTCGTGAGCTTGCAACTGCAACTAAAAATTTTAGGACGGATTCCTGTATTGGAGAAGGTGGTTTTGGGCCTGTGTACAAAGGGAAACTGGCCTCTGGTCAAGTAAGTGTTTCGAGGGCTGACTTAGCTTCTGCACTTTTTATGATTTGAATTTAGTGATATCTTCATTCCCATCACTTTATTGATTTTCATGTTTTGTGTTATTCAATTTAAAGCAGGCTGTTGCCGTAAAAAAACTTGATCAGACAGGTCTTCAAGGAGAAAAGGAGTTTCTGGTGGAGGTTCTCATGCTCTCTCTCTTGCGTCATTCTAATCTTGTCAGTTTAATTGGTTACTGTGCTGAAGGAGAGCAGCGCCTTCTTGTCTACGAATACATGCCGTTAGGGTCCTTGGCAGACCACCTCCATGGTACATGCTTTGATGCCATTCATTTTTCACTTTATAACACGACATGCAGTTCCTCCCATGCCAAGTTCTCATTACTTGTTTTACTCAATTATACATCTTGTAAAATTACAGAGGACCTTTCTAAATTTCACAAAATCAACCAAAAAAAGGGTAAACAGAAACAATGAAAGACCCAAACCAGAGTTACAATAGTGTAACTCGTGAACTCCTTCCTGTTATAAAAAATGGATTGTAAGTGCTTATGTTCAGATTTCCCAACGAGTCACATTCCTGAGAACTTTAGCTAGCCAAATTAAGATATGAGTTTTATAGCATCACATATGCCGGTCATCTAATGTATCTTGGTTTTAATAACTGAAGAACGTGAATTTTCCCTCAATCTGTGGGGTTGAAGTCATCTCTAGTCCGGGTAATAGAACGCATGCACAACTAATAAATGATGGACAATCTATGTTGTAGTTCACCTCAACACTGGTTTATACATTTGGTTTATACCGCGACTTGAACAGGAAATTTTGTTTCAAATCTGTATAAGTTGTATGTAAAAGTTAGTAGTACCACTGTAGAGGTCTAAGGACGTTTCCAACCGGTGTTTAACCATCACAGTCTAACTTCTAAAACATTTATGTCTCTAGACTCTAATGCTAATCCCATTTCATTGAACACGTTAGCATATATCTTTTACTTAAAGACTTCTGAAGTGCTAACCTCCCCATGTAACCATTGCCAGATCTTCCACCGGGTCAGGAGCCAATTGATTGGAATAAACGGATGATGATAGCTGCTGGTGCAGCCAAAGGATTGGAATATCTTCACCATGAGGCTGATCCACCTGTGATATATAGGGATCTAAAATCAGCCAACATTTTATTGGGTGAAGATTTCTTCCCAAAGCTTTCCGATTTTGGGCTTGCAAAATTTGGTCCAACAGGAGATAGATCGCATGTCTCCACCAGGGTCATGGGCACCCATGGCTACTGTGCTCCTGAATATGCTAAAAGTGGAAAGTTGACGGCAAAGTCTGACATCTACAGTTTTGGGGTAGTATTGCTGGAGCTGATCACTGGACATAAGGCGGTCGATAGCAGTCTTGGTCGTGAAAAACATCTTGTTGAGTGGGTAATTCATTTTGTTTCATTTCGTTATTGTGATGTGTACCAGTATTCCAACATTACATCTGCATATTTTTGGTAGCGGTTATCGCATTCAGTTGTTAAGACAATTGTGAGCAATCATGATCTTTTCTCTGCATAAATCTAATGCCTCAGTTTTACCTAATAATTTACTTTTTAAGAGAAAAGAATGCATAGCAGATTGAGCAATAAATAATGGTTTTGATAGTACTGTGCTCAGTTTATGAAAATGGAATTAGCCATGGTTGATCCTAGTCACTCGTCTTTGTAGGCACGTCCGTTTATGAAAGACCACAAGAATATTGCGCAACTTGCAGATCCACTTCTTAGAGGTCGGTTTCAGGTATCAATATTGAGGAAAGCCTTTGAAGTAGCTTTCATGTGTCTCAGGGAGGATGCCAGTACCCGGCCTTCCATGACTGAAGTGGTGCTTGCTATGAATTACTTGACCTCCCGCCTGTATAGCGAACCAGATGAGAACAAAGTGGTTGACAAAAAGAATTCAGAGCCTAACACTCCAGATGAAACGACGGCTATGTTGAAAAAGGAGTCCGAAAGAGAGAGAGCGGTTGCAGAGGCCAAGATGTGGGGAGAGACTTGGAGAGACAAACGAAGACAAGGTGCACAAAGTACTGATGATGACTTTAGATAGCTAATTGGATAGTGCAATATCTGGGTTGAATTTACTTAGAAAATTTTCTTTTCTTGTGGAAGTTTTAACTTTGGCTGAATTGATGCCCGAAGTAGTTTTAAGTCAATATGCAATAGTTTCAGATTTGTTTTCTTCAAAAATGCGGAACACCGCAAAATCATGAGTTCATTTTGTTTCGGGGAATAACTTTTGATACTGATAGAGAGCAGAATCGATTATTTGATTGGAAATTTATTTCCCCAAATGTTTGACTTGAAATCAGGAACTCCCTAGATAAGTTGTTTCTGAATGCTGGTGGCTCAGGGTCTGTAACTCTATAATACTACTAGATCTGCTTCGAAGAAGCTCAGAAATTCCAGGCCTTGGCTGATATGGTGTGGTTAGCAACGATGTCCCAAGGACGAGCTTCAACCTTTGGTCTGCTATCAAAGGTAAGCTGTGAATTCTTGACGGAATCCTCCTTACTCTCTGCAGGCTGTAGCAGATGGTATGTTTTGTTCCAAGCTTTCCCAGAATCTCATGAGCATTTTTTTGTTGATTGTTCGTCTTGTGATGATACATGATAGTTTAGAGGGCACGGTAATTATGGAGTCCATGGAAAACGTAAGCAACTGCATTCTGCAGTCAAAACGCTTCGCCTGGTGGAGATTGTGAATGAGAACGAGCCTCCCATGGTTGTGCTGTGCATGTACTCGTCTAGCCTTCGACTTCTATGTTTTTCGATTATTCAGGAACGGAGGCCTTCTGTGGAATGTAGACAGAAAAAGCTTGTGGTGCTCAGAGATTGTGCGTGCCTTGATGCAGTCTTCCTTTTTTGTCCGTTGATGTTGCCCTCCGTGCAAGCAAAGGGTTTTGCTTCTACTGTATCATGTAGTCATGACGTGGTTAAGTACATTGACATTGTTAGTTATTTCTGTTTTATGTTGGTATTCAAACCTTGTGAATTATTATTCTCCTTTCTTATAAATAATGATTTACCTTTACCGGTTACTATTTACCCATCAGAAAAATGAAGCGTTCATGTCAAATTTATAGACAAAGATTCTCTCCAGATTTCACTATTCGAGCAGACAATTCGGACCATTCAATTTAATTCAAAATTTCTCATTAACTTAATTCGTTGGCTCATCTCACGCAAATCAATGACGTAAATTACGTAATACTTGGTTCTGAATAGTAAAGTCGGTTTTTTCTAGTAAAAAGTAGATCATAGTTTCCCCAAGGTAAATGTATTGTGATCCAGAGGCTGCTGATCATCTCTTTCAATTTCCGTTTCCCAAAGCACATTGAAACCAAAACATTTATAAATAACAGCAGCTTGTAAAAATATGATAAATATATAGCAGCTCTACTCTTGATAAACTTAATTTTTTTTTCTCATCACAATCGAAATTTATATTGCTATTCTATGTTACACTAAATAAACGTAAAATGTGGAGAATTTTAAATCCAGTAAAAAAATAATTAAAAATCGAATTTATAGTTTTTCAGTAAAACAGCACTATTTCTTGCATCTAATTTTATTAATTAGGAGTGCATTTTTCCTCACTGAGCATTACCATCACTGAAAAATAGTGAGCAAAAATAATTTCAATTAATTAAATTCCTATATCTCTAAAGTTAATCTTCTTTTTATCGAAATTAGGAAGGGAAAAAGAAGTTTAATCCTTTTAATCTTTAAGTATGTATTAAGCAAAGAGCATGATTGCAGCTTGTGTTCGTATAATATATTGGTGTAATGATGACACACATGGCTTCGTCGTCCAAATTCCAACGTCGGATTGAGTTTAAAATTTAAATGTGCAACTGCAACCATCATAAAGATTTTCATGGATGATGCCGCAATCCAATTACCATGGTTTTCACCAAAGAGTCTCGTTTTCTTGTTGTTGCTGGTTCGGGCTGGTTTGGTATTGCTGTACTTTGAAAAAAAAAATTATTTTTGTTGTGCTGTGAGAATAAGTTTATTTTTGTTTTCATCCAAAATTGTGAAAATTAGTTGTTTTTAAGTGTTTACCAAATACTTTTTTTAGCTCAGCTTTTTTTATACCTATTTTTTTATAAAATCACTTCAATACCAAACCAGTACTTTATCTCATCTACGTCCAAGTTTACAACAATGAGTCCATCAAGTATGTGCATACTCGAAACAAAGCTCTCGTTGCGGATAGAGGATCAAAAGGGAATGGATAATTTACTATATACAAGACATGTTGATTGAAGAAATAAAAAGAAAATTAAAAAAAAAAACTGTATCTAACTTCCAGGTATAATCTTCATTAATTAATGAAACCCTCTTTGTCAATCAAAAGATGATGAAAAAGCCACTTAGTCTTCTATCACACAAAAAAGGGCAATACTGTAATTTCACATGTCCAAATTTTACTTTTTTTTATTGAAGCCTCACCTATAGATGATGTTAAAATACCTCCAATATTAAAAAAAAAAAAAAACCTCCCACTCCCCCCACATTCTCTCCCTCTCTCTCTCTCTCCCCCTCTCTCCTTCTCATTTTCTAAAAAAATATGTTAATACATACAAAGTATGTAGGCAAATGCTAGTACTCATCAAGAAAACTTACGAAGTTTCTTTTTGAATAATTCTCTTCTAATTCATTTAAGATAAAATCTCATCCACCTTCATTTATACTTTATCTTTGATTTTATAGACTTAATCATTTTAATTCAATCCAAAGATTCAAATGAGGCCGAAAGGTTTTTTTTTTTTTTTTTTAATCATAAATATAATTACTTACAATATTTAGTTTTTTATTTTCTACTCATTTGTTTTTATCAACGAAGGAGAGAAACCGAACAATCCGGACACTTTCTACTATAAAGCTGGGCCGACGCTGGCATTCAAGAATCTCATAACTCATATTTTCTATTTGACCAATTTCAATGGTCTGATTTTCTTCTTTCTTTCTCTTTTGGTTCGTTGAATAGAAGAGAAAAATCTAGATTAAGAAATAATCGGTATTTAATCTAATAAGGAATTAAAACGAGCATATGGAGTGTAGATTAAGAAATCTATAATCTTTTGCATAGGGTTTTAGATACCTCAAGGCAATTCTTCACTCAACCAAACACAGTCCAAAGGTAAGGGCTCGTAAAAAACCGGACTAGAAGCGAAGGGGCTGCGTAGCGCTTACATATTCTCTCTGTTGGGTTCACCAACTACAGCCGGTACAGCCCTAAACCCCTATGACCAATCAAATCACGCCACGTCACCCAATCCCCTCTGTAAAGCGCAGACGCACAGCAGTGATGAGCAAACCTTTCTCTCTCTCTCTCTCTCTCTCTCTGTGCCCTTTGCTGCTCATAACATAAGCCACCAAAAGGGATGATGAAAAGCCCTTTTGCTCCTTTCGCTTCAACCCCACCCGCCCGCACGCCTTGTCGCCCAGCTCGCCGGAGCCCGACCCATTAGCAATTTCCCCCGACCCGATCGACCGCTTCAGCTCCACTTTTCCGTTATTTCTGCTTCGGAGTCCGCGGCTAAGTCAAAAGCGACGACTAGAGAGTGGAATCGACATTGCTGTATCGGGAATCGAGCGAGGACGTCCTTAACGAGCTGAAGCTGAAGGGGTGGTTGTTGGCGGCGAGGAAGAGATGTACGTGGTGCCTCCACCGCAGCGATCGGATCCGGCTTCCGGATCCGCCGGCGCCGCCGATGATTTGCGAGTCTACCAGAATTGGAAGGGCAGCAATGTCAGTCCCCTTTTATTCTCCTTTTCGTCTTCTCTCTTTCGGCTGCTCAGATTTCTTTCTTTCTTGTTCCATTTCTGCTCCATTTTTTCCGGAATAATTTCAGTTTTAGAGCTTCATGTAGTATGGTTCCACTCATGCATTTTCATCGACAGGGTTTTTATTATTTTTATGCTGTTAAGATTGGTGTAATTGTTCGCAATTTTCTGTCTTTTTTTTTCTTTTTTTAGTCAAATAATGAAAGTTCGTATTTTTCCCCTGTGAAGAATTTGAAAGTAATAAAAAGATGTAAAAACGAGAGATTGCATATACATTTGAGACGAAAGCGAGTATAATGATGAATTCGACTAAGTTTATGTTGATTAACACGGAATTAAAGTGTTGGTGGCGTGTGTTTATAGTTTGATGAACATAAAGCTAACGTTTTACAATCATAGTGTTGTCAAGCTTTTTGCTTTTAGAATTCAGATGGTGGTTGCAGGGCAGTAGCTTGCTTTGTCATGAATGGCATTGTGGAAAATTACATAAATATAGTGTTTTTGCTTCTTTGCAGATATTTTTTTTTCAGGGGAGGTTTGTTTTCGGACCAGATGTAAGATCGTTGGGGCTGACCATATTTCTGATTGTTGCTCCTGTCACAATATTCTGCATCTTTGTTGCCAGAAAGTTGATGGATCATTACTCCCATCACTTGGGAATATTCATCATGGCTGTCGCTGTTGTATTCACAGTTTATGTGAGTTCTCTTTCCAATTCACACACAGCTTATTTGTGTAAAGGAATTTTATGTTTTGCCAGAAAATCTGCTATGTTATGTCGAAAGGAACTCTCTCTGTTTGTGTATATATATGTGTGTGTCTCTCTGTTGGTGTATGCATACATGTGTGCGTGTGTATACATATGTGTAGTATTTGAGTGTACTGCATTGCAATGGAGTGTTGTACGTTGTTATAGTACTGCCGGCATGCTCCAAATGGGAATGATAAATTTCCTATAGTTTTCCTTAGTTGAAAGAGTGTAAAACTTACATTGGTTGGACCGCACATTAAAAATGCTGTTCTCTAGTCAAAGAGATTAGGGAGGAGCATGGTAAGTTATGGAGGATAGCATTTGTGATGAGAAATGGATCAATATAAGTTGCTGTTATGTTCTTATGGAGAATATCACTTCCTGTGAGTACAATACTCTTTACCTCTACCACTTTAGACAGGCTCCTATCTGACTAGGTTTAGGAGTCTATTTTGGTAGTTAGTTTTCTTACGTTAAGAATTGTGTAAATGATAATCAGTTAGGTTTGTAGAGTTGTTGTAATAAGTTTTGCAGGTTATAGTAAAACTGTTCCCTCAGAAGCACGCATTAGCAGGTGGATATAGTGATATAACTATACAAATGTCGATGCATTTGCACTTTGTGAAAAATGCTGACGCAATGTTCTATTTACAGGATTTAGTTCTTCTCCTGCTTACCTCTGGAAGAGATCCTGGTATAATTCCCCGTAACACACACCCCCCAGAGCCTGAAGGATTTGATGGGAATATAGAAGGTGGGGCTGGACAAACTCCACAGTTGCGCTTGCCTCGCATCAAAGAAGTTGAGGTGAATGGAATCTCTGTCAAGATCAAGTACTGCGATACTTGTATGCTTTATAGACCTCCTCGCTGCTCCCACTGTTCAATATGCAACAACTGTGTAGAAAGATTCGATCATCATTGTCCCTGGGTTGGGCAGTGTATTGGTCTGGTAAGTAATTCTTTCATTAGATTCATGTATTCTAATTCCTCTGCCAATGAATATGAATTGAGACAAACAGGCACACTTGTGGGCGTGAACACACACCATGTGTGCATGCTTTTGTACTATCCATGCATACGTACATTCATGCATTCTTGCATGCATACACATGTGTGCTTGCTTTTGTACTATCCATAGTTATTGTAGTAATGTACGAAAGATTTGGAATATATAAATCTTCACATTGAATTAAACATTTTCATAGATGTCCTTTAGCTTATCTGGTTAAATGTTTGTGCTTGTGAAAAGACCTAATATGACTAAGATAGAAAGTACAATCATCGATACATATTTCTTGATTTGGCTTGATTTAATTAACTCATGTTGCTTATATGATTGCTTCTCAGTTGTCTCCTTTCAAATGATACTTGATGCGTGAAACTTTGAGTCTAAGGAAAATGAATCTGAACATTCACTAATTTGGTTGCAGAGGAACTATCGATTCTTCTTCATGTTTGTCTTCAACACAACTCTTCTTTGTATATATGTTTTTGCATTCTGCTGGGTGTACGTTAGAAGGATCATGGGAGCTGAGGAGACAACGATTTGGAAGGCAATGATTAAAACTCCAGCATCTATTGTGCTAATAATTTACACTTTCATATCGATGTGGTTTGTTGGTGGCCTTACTGCCTTCCATTTGTATCTCATCAGTACAAATCAGGTGAGGAGACCCATCTTGAACCGTCACAACCTTCTAGCATAGAACTTTATCTGTGTGATACTTATATTAGCATGTGCATGAGCTTATATCTGTGTGCATTGTTTTTACAGACTACATATGAGAATTTCCGGTACCGATATGATAGGCGAGCCAACCCCTATAACAAGGGAGTTGTCGACAATTTCAAGGAGATATTTTGTACCGCCATTCCCGAGTCTAAGAACCATTTCAGGGACAAGGTGCCAAGGGAGCCGGCGTTACCTCCTCGATCAGGGGGTGGGGGTTTTATGAGCCCAAATATGGGAAAAGCTGTGGAGGACATTGAAATGGGCAGAAAAACCGTGTGGGGTGACATGAGTGCTGGGGGAGATAATTACGAAGGGCAGCATAACGGCAATGATCGCGTGAATGTAAAAGATGGTGAATTAAGTGAAGTATCCCCAGATATAAGGACGACCGTAGATGAAACTGTGGATCGTGCTGGAATGCATCCCAGGCGAGCCAGCTGGGGAAGGAAAAGTGGAAGTTGGGAAATGTCCCCAGAAGTTCTTGCCTTGGCAGCTAGAGTCGGGGAACCAAACCGCATGGGCGGGAGTAGCAGCGGTGGCCTAACGAACGAGAACCGACATACATAGGCAGCCAAAATGCGACAGACCAGCAGACTAGCGAAACCGAAGATTTGATTGTCCAGCAAAATGGCGGTTTGTTTTCGTGCGCGGCCATTTAAGTCCAACATTAATATTATGTGCAATACGGGTAAAGGGGCTTTCTTGTAAGGTGTTGGGTTTGGCCATTGTGCAATTTAGGAAGGAGTTGTGTGTTGTATGAGTGAGCTTTCTTGTTTTGTATTGCATTTGTGGAATTAGTTAGTTCCTATTTGTATTGCCATTGTGGAGTTTCTCTCTCTCTCTCTCTCTCTCTCTCTCTCTGGTTCACCAACTCTATATTGTTAGTTATTGTTACACCGTCACGTGTTGTTATTATTAACGGAACTAAAAGCGGTTCCCATGGGCCGCGATTAAATCGAAATCTCTAGTTTTTGGTTTCGAGACTTTGGGCAATTATGAAATGAAGTTCCACACGTTTCCTCTGCATAAAATAAAGGAAACTTTAATGAAAAGTTTCGGTACTGTTCACTTTAAAGAAAAATCACATTTTTACACTAAAAAGTCAATCATGATACTATTCACTTTACCCTTTATTTTGTCCTTATCATTAAAACTCAAAGTTTTCAAACCATTTTTATTAGTTTCCTTAAAATAAAAGCTCTTTAAACAAGCTAGGTGAGTGAGATTAATGTTTGGCTCGTCTACACTCTTCCCCAGGACTAAATTTAACGTTCGTTACATTTTTTCTAATGCAGATCACCAACTAAGAGCTATATTTATATTATTAAACAACTCCAAAGTCAAACAGTGAAAGGCTAATCAACGCTATGGCCAGGAGGCCGGAGAAAGCGCTGGCCATGGAACCAAGGTGATGTTTAATTGCATTCATACCTTAAACCCGAACGCTGTCATTGTTAATTTGTTTAGGTTTTTTAATCAAAATAATATCTGAGATTTGTATAACACATAATTTTGGTTCCTAAAATTTGAAATCAATAGAAGTGATTTACTAAAGATTTTTCAAGGAATGATCAAAATAATTGATGATGGAGAAATTCAAAGACATTTCAAATTTCATAGACCAAAGTGAGGAGTTATGCAAATCTCATGAATTATTTTGACAAAAAAGTCATTGTTTATAAACACCAGATGCAGATACAGAATGTGGTTCATGATATGGTCTCTATTTTTCTCCAAAACTATGTATTACTGCAGGGACTGCGACCTTATCTATTACACTAGGGTTATGTAATCTTTTTTTAGCAACATCCTAGTTAATTCATGTAAATTACCGACACAAAGATTCGAACTTTAAAACGGTAAGAAAAAACACATTGTTGTAATCAACTTAACTAAAATCGGGTTTGTGGCACTAGGGTTATATTGGTAGCTGGATTCTGGTTTCCCCAAAAGGAAGAAAATAAAAGCTAGATATTGGCTTGTGGCTCCTCTTCAATCCTGGTTGCTAGAAAACTGTGCTCTGTAATGGGAAAAGATTTGATTTGAATTAATAACACAGTAAATAATCCTGTACACTTCCCTCGTCGGTAAAAAAAAATCTCAAAAAGTTTGAATAAAATAATGAAACGGAAGGAAAAGAGAAGAAAAAAACTAATGAAAATGATTTGAAAACTTTGAGTTTTAATGATAAAGATAAAATAAAACATAAAGTTAATAGTATCAAAATTGAATTTTTAGTATAAAAATATAATTTTTCGTTAAAATGAACAGGATTAAGAAAAAGTTCGCTAAAAGGAGCCAAGAGTAATTAAAGCTTCACCAATTCATTTCGTATTCTCTCTTTCTTCATCTTCTCTTCTCTACCTCTTCTCTCTCAGAAGACATTTACTATTAAGATGCCTTTGTCCTCATAGACAGCCAATGTAGGGCTGACTGAGGAATCTTCTGGTCACTCACAACTAGTTCTGTTGGTTATCTTTCACTCTTGATACCTCTAAAGGCTCCTGCTTTTAATTACATGTAAGTTTCTCAACTATTTTAATTAGCATTTTTTTGTATTTTTTGCCATTTGAAATGGTGGGTTTTTCTTCTAATTATGTTTTGTGGGAGGTTTGATGGTTTTATGGATGTGTGTTCTTTGAAGGAGATGTATAAGAACCAGCTGCAGGAGCTTGCGCAGAGAAGCTGTTTCAACCTCCCTTCCTATGCCTGCACCAGAGAAGGACCCGATCATGCGCCGAGATTCAAAGCTTCCGTCAACTTTAACGGCGAGATCTTCCAAAGCCCGGCCTACTGCACCACACTGAGACAGGCGGAGCATGCTGCTGCAGAAGTTGCCCTCAATAAACTCTCCACCAGAGGCCCGTCCAGGTCTCTCACTGCCAGAGTTCTAGTAAGTTCATTACTTTCTTTAACAACTACCAAAAGCCTCTCTGTTTTTAAAGTTACGTTTAAATTTTAATTAATTAGCAAGTTTTTTGCTTGAACTTTATGTTATATACATATGTGAAGGATGAAACTGGAATTTACAAAAACCTCCTTCAAGAAACGGCTCACAGAGCTGGACTGAAGCTCCCTGTGTACACCACTGTAAGATCAGGTCCCGGCCACGTCCCGGTTTTTACGTGTACCGTGGAGCTCGCCGGCATGAATTTTACCGGCGAGCCGGCCAAAACCCAAGAAGCAAGCAGAGAAGAATGCTGCAATTGCAGCCTGGTCTGCCCTGAAAAGAAGTATGTGTATTCTCTGCATATTCTGTTTTAACTGTGTTTTGATTCACATTATGCAATTGCTTCATGAAATTGAAAATCTCTGTGCAATTCCAGACCTGGGTTTTTTCGCGAACAAAGAAGCAGAAGAAGAGCAGGCTGTTGTGACGAGGTTGCTCTCAAATTTTAGACCCAAAGATGATAACAACAACAATAATAATAGCAAGCAATTTATGAGGAGGAGGGATCCAATTCAAGCAAGAAGAAGAATGGTCAGATCATCGTCGTCGTCGTCATCTTCGTCCAGTAGTAGTACTAGCTCTCTACAGAATCAAAACTGGAGGCTGATAGATCTGTTGACAGATTTGGTTCCACAAGTTTCAACAGTTCAAAAGCAGAGCACTTTTACATCTCTTCTTCCTCCACCTCCTCCTCGAACCGCCTCGAAGATTTTGCCACCAACTACAATGCTCAACAAAGACAAGTCCCCTTCCTACCCGCCGTTATCCAATTATAGGCCAATCCCAGTACAAGTGAATGCGAGGGGAGGTTCACAAGTCATCCAACCTCCATTGGAAGAGCACCAAAGGGATGAGGAAGAATGGCTTGGTATTGGAACGGAGGGTGCTAGTGGTTCAAATTCAAGTGGTATATTTGGTTCAGGTTCTCCATACAGGCAATTTCCTCCGTCTACTGCCGGAAAGTTTGGCGCTTTTGAATTGTCCGGTCCAATTAAGGCCGCGCCCGGTGTCAAGATTTCAGAAAGACGGACTAGTGGATTCCACATGTATAGTGGAGGGTTAAGTCCTCACAGGAATATTGCACCTGCAGTTCAAATGAGATCGGTGATCCCAGTTTGTGCAGCACCACCGGCACCGGTGAGACCCTCCTCACCAACAAAAGTGATGGCAATGAAGGGCATTTCTTCAGAAGTAGAAGCAGAAACAGGCTTAAGTTTAAGTGCTTCTACTAATTCATCATCATCAGGCAGCTCAAAGTCGAAGATGCCCGAGTCAAGTTCAAGTTCCACTCGGCAGCTGGGTTCCGAGTTCAACAAGCTGCGGTTAGGAGGAGGCAACAAGGACGGTAATAAGATTATATAAACCATAATTAAAAGTTAATGTCTTTTTACTTGGATGGAAATTAAGCAGCTGGGATGACATGTTATTACATGCATGCTGGAATTTTTGTATAAAAGGATGATGGGGATATCTCATATAATATTTCACCTTTGGCATGAATCAATTAAATACAGCCCAGTGACTGGCGGACTGGCCACAGAGAGAGAGAGAGAGAGAGAGAGAGAGAGCAATAAATGAGAGATTGAAGAGGTAGGTTGCAGTTGCAGAGAGGATAAGAGAGGGGAGGGGGGGGGGGGGAAGAGAGAGAGAGGAGAGAGAGAAGGTAGATGAGAGGGGGGGAGCAATGAAGGCAGCCTGAAGAGGGCCAACAGAGTCACTTGCAGCAATTAATTTAGCCCTTGAAATATTTAATGCTTCTGTCTTCGCCATTAATGCTCACTTCTTCAACTTCTTCGTCTCAGTCCCCTCCTCAGAAGGAGAGAGAGGCAGACAGCTTTTTCTTCATCTTATCTTCTTCTTCTTCCCGTTGCGTGTTGTTTGTTTATTTAATTCAATAGCCTCTCCTCCTCACTAGAGGAAGAATTTATATGAAATCGGTTCACCATCACGTAGGGCATTAACATGTGGAGAAATATTTAGTTATTTATATACAGTACTTCATAACCTCATCAGTAGATGAAAACATCCAAACGGTAAATTCGTTTTATATAAGTTGCTCTCCATCAATATTATAATAATGTGTGGAATTAAAATCACCACATCTGCCTTGCAAGAGCTACTTATATTAATTAGAGCTTATGCTATTTTGAATGAATGAGAGAGCAGTAGCCGTTGTGTTTGTGTTGTGTTGGTGTCATTGGAGTTGTACAGTTGCTATTGCACATACCAAAAACCAAACCTAAGTTTTTTATTTTTGGTGACGGTAATTTTCGGTTTGGTATTTATAGAGACAAAAGTGAATTTAAGAAACTTGTAGTGCCACGAAAATTACACGAAAAAATTAGGTCTCAAGTGATTTTTAAGGTTTGGAAAATCTTTTAATGAGAACATGAAAAATAAGTTAAAATGACTAGTAAGTCCCATAAATGTTTGGATGAAGAAATTTAAGGTATTTTAAAATGACGGAAATTGATTTGACGATATTTTGTTTTTTAGAATTTGTAAATTTTCTTGTTTGATTAACCTAAAAGGACGATAGAATTGAATATGGAATTTGTTATCTTTAAGCTCTCAATTATATAAATTGGGAAATGACACCTATTTACATGGAATTTAAACTTGGAATTGGAGGTCTTAAATTCTAAGTCTTTTTTTTTCACGCGGAAATTCTAAATTCCTATGTCTATGAATTCAAACAATGGTTTTCTTTCAGTCTTTATATTTTCTGAACCTAGTGAGCCCAATCAGATGAGAACACAACACAAGATTTAGCTGGGCTGGGCTATTCTACAGCTTCAATTGACCCAAAGAAAAGCCCAATGAAAGCATGAGGAAACGCCTTATACTATTAGAACATGTATTGGATGACTTGAATGGAACATATTTATCGTTATTAGTTTTGCAAATTAATAATACAATGTTATTTATAAGTTGTTTTTTTCACATAGTACTAGGGGTGGATTTTTTTGCCAAATTGCCGTGCCAACCGAATTGCCAACCGTGCCATACCGATTTTGTGCCAAATTTTTTGTACCAATCGGTAATGATACGGTATTGTACCGTACCGAAATTTCATGGTACGGTATTGGTAATGGATACCATTACCACAGTATTACCGTACCATACCGAAAATACAATATAATATAGAATTTAGAAATTATATAATAGATAATTATATAACACATATTTATAATATTCCCAATAATTTGAAAATAAAACCCTACTTATATTAGTATTGTTGTTGGCGACTTTGATCTCTTGAAATTGTGGAAATCAAACACAAAAGAGTTCCTAATTCTTTCACAAATAGCCAAAATATCTTTATAACCCCCACTTCTACTTTTGCTAGTGAAAATGCATTTAGCCTAGGGAGGAGGGTTGTGGACCCTTTAGGGTATCCTTGACTCCTAAAATAATGGAGGCACTAGTGCGTACTAGTGGTTGGTTTAGGGCAGATGAATAAACTTCTACAAGGAACCAACGGAAGATATGCTTCAATTTTACAAGGAAATGAAAGAAGAGAAAACAAGAAATATATGCTTTAATTTTTTAGTAAATTTGTTATTAAATGGTTTTCAACTTTAATTCTTCTTGCTACTAATTAATATGTTTTATTTGTTTGTAATGTAGGCTTGACACAAACTCAATCTTCTACAAGTTCAATGCCTCTTTCACAAGCTTCGACATTTTAAGCTTGAATAATTGATAAATGAATTCTCCTTTTTGAAGTTTACTTCCAATTTTCATTTGGTTTGAAACTTTAATTTATATTTGGATTGTTAACTTCTATTTGTTTTGATTCGTAACTTCTATTTGGATTGTAAGCTTAATTTTCATGATGAATCTTGATGCATCATTTGAATTATTATGTGTGTGAATTGTGAATGATGAATAATAGATGAATTTAATCTATAATGTATGAGATAAAGGTACAAAAAAAAGTTTTGCCCTCGAATTGGGTTAAAAAAACAAAAACAGATTTTGTCCCAAAACAAAATGGCAATTACCATTGCCATACCATGCCAACCGAACTTTTAGCAATACCGCACTTCGGTATACCGAAAGTTTGGTACGGTAATGGTAATAGATTTTACCAAACCGAAAGTTTGGTATAGTAATTGGTACAAGGGGTTTGGTACGGTAACCGTACCGAACCCACCCCTACATAGTACTGCATTATTGAATCGGGACTAAATTTGGCACCATTCCTCTTGGAGGTAGGCCTGGCATTTTGGACCCAGCCCGTTAACCCGACCCGACCCAACCCGTTAATATTTGTATTTGGGTGGATGCTTAACGGATCGGGTCGTTAACTGGTAAACCCGTTAACAACCCGTTAAATAACGGGTCACTTTGGATCAACCCGTTAGTTGAGGATATTTTAGTAATTTTAGTAAAGTCTTAATAACAAAAAATAAACTTTATGCAAAAAAATAATAATAATAATTGTTAACGGGTCGGGTTGAACCCGACCCAAACTCAATAAACTCGACCCGTTTATAGGTCTACTTGGAGGAATAGGTTTTTGCATGTATTCCAACTCCTAATTATTTTGTTTTGTACTTTGAATTAGATATTTTAGTATATATGTCAAACTGTGATTGATATTTATAAAGGAAGGAATGACACCTTAAATATGAAGAACATTATAACAGGAATGCATTATTCTGTTAAATAATCAAAAGTGACAATTTTTTTTTCCGTAAAACAATAGTATCACATTAGAGGGGGGAGTGAGATAAACCTCACAATGAATTAGTAATAATGTGGTTCAAATTCCTCTTTAACGATAACCAAAGTTAAGACTTCTCACTTACAAGTGAAGATGAATATCAATAGATCATAATACTTAGGTTTATGAGTAAAATAAAATTTGTGAAAATCACGGATCATATTACGATGCGCTTTTTTTTATAGGAAAAAGTGCGAGCTAGCTAGGAGCTGGTATTCTAATAAAGTTCTCAAGCATGTTTCTCCGACATGCATGATCGATATATACATACATATATATATGTTTGATGGAATATGATTCATTAAAGTGAAGAAAGTGCAGTAATAATTTAAGCATGCAATATGAGAGAGGAGTGCCACATTGGAACTCCATGACCTAATTAATTAAAATCCGAAACAAGACAAATCAAAGGATAGATTTCTGCAAAAAAAATAACGTACGATCAGATGAGATGAGAGAAAGAAAGAAAGAAATTGGCTTCATCAGTCGCTCCCAATGGCCACTGTAATTTCTGATGACAACTGGGACCAGATTCTCTTTGCTTTAGTCACCATCCAACTCCATAGTAAACTAGTGATAGTGTCCGCTAATTATTAATGGGTTAATTTAATAGGAAAATTAATGAAAAAAGTTTGTAAACTTTGAGTTTTAACAATAAGAACAAAATAAAGGTAAAGTGAATAATATCTTGATTGACCTTTTAGTGTAAAATTGTGGTTTTTCGTTAAAATGAACAATACCGAGAACATTTCGTTAAAATTCCCTAATTTAATTAGGCCTCAAAGTTCATACTCAAACTACCTTTCTTCTATTCCTTTCATTTCCCCCTTTATTTGTAATCTGTATTCTGTATGCATGCATATTAGGTAAAGACGGGCACACACATATACTTACGTGTGTGTGTATATACAAAAGAATAACTTGCACATCACATATATACCGTCACCTTAACGTTTCATTCCAATAATAGAATAAATAGGTCAAGAAAATTGTATCAAGAGAATGAAACGTCGAGGTATGAGAGAGGGGCATAGTTTGAGAAAAGCTAGATGGCCCATAAAATTTTGGAAATGCTGAACGTAAACCCTCATTGGACGCATTCTTAGTTAGTCCCGTTTCACAAAAGACAGGAACAAATGTGGATGGTTGCTGGCACCACCTGTTGAGATGAGATGAGATTGCATGTATGTTGTTAGGTTGGGGAAACTGTATCATTTGGCTGGTTCTTATTAGTTTATGTTAAAATATGAGGGCTACATATCATGCATCTTCACCTTTATCATTGAGAGATTAATACTGGTTTTGTCAATGGTTCAATATCGATATCGTTTTCCAACTTAATTTCTAGCTAACTCAACAATAGTGGAGTTTTTTCATACAAAAATTGGATGCAATGAGGAACAGAATCGTGCAATCATAAGTTGTAAATTGTTCAATGTAATGTATGACTCCTATCGCCTGGAAAAATATTGTAATTTAGATGAATCCAATACAATATACTCGCATAACAAAGAGAAACCGTAACATGGCAACGTACACGGTAGCTGTAATGCGAAGACGTGGAAGCATGCATACAATACAATCATCCCTACGCACCTAGCGGCGTCAGAGACCAGACACTTTCGCACCGCGCTGTCGCTACGCTACGGGGCGGAGCTTATCTCTTGGCGCTCTATGCTTTTATATTTTCATTTCGTAAAACAAAAATCAAATTTTATTTCTGTCCTGACCTTAGAAAATAACAATATTAGTTTTTTTTTTATAACAAAACA